TGAAGGTATTGCCCACCGCGCGTCGGGTAAATTCAGTTTCTCAAAGGAAACAACACTGAGAAATGCGGGTAAAATTACTCAGAAGTCAACGGGCCTTAGTTCGGTACAGCTGGCGGGACGTTCGGGTCCCACCTTTCACTCAGGCTCTGGTTACAGCTCTCAGTAAGCTGCAGCTATTTGCTATTTTGTTTTGCTATTTGCTTTGGACAAGCTCTTACACGACGGCGCTGCGGCGTGCCAGCTCCGGGGCGAGCTAGGTGGAACTAGAATCCCCGCCTGAGTTTATCATCTGCGCAACTGGCTGTGCCTTTTAGGGCAGCCGAGGTCCTTCGATACAAACAGCTGCGTTAAAAAATCGTAGAATCATGGAATGGTTTAGGTTGGAAAGGACCTTGAAGATCATCCAGTTCCAACCCCCCTGCCATGGGCAGGGACACCTCCCACCAGCCCAGGTTGCCCAAGGCCACCTCCAGCCTGGTCTTGAACACCTCCAGGGATGGGGCCTCAACAACCTCTCTGGGCAACCTGTGCCAGTGCCTCACCACCCTCACAGTGAAAAACTTCTTCCTAATGTTTGATCTAAACCTGCCCTCTTGCAGTTTAAAGCCATTCCCCCTCGTCCTGTCACTACATGCCCCAGTAAAAAGTCCCTCCACAGCTCTCCTGGAGCCCCTTTAGGGACTGGAAGGCGGCAATAAGATCTCCCCGGAGCCTTCTCTTCTCCAGGCTGAACCCCCCCAACTCTCCCAGCCTCTCCTCACAGGAGAGGTGCTCCAGCCCTCGGATCATCCTCATGGCTCTCCTCTGGACATGCTCCAGCAGGTCCATGTCTTTCTTATGTTGAGGACTCCAGAGCTGGATGCAGTACTCGTTGTCCCAAAAGTAACCGTCAGTCCGCTGTTCATAGAGCCATCTTGGTCCCAGGGGGGCAGGTGGGCATCGATGCACAGGGCATTTTCCTGTTTGCCCGTTGCAGGATGCATGGTAGCCATGGCTGTGGGGTTCGGGCTTGGGCGGCACGGAGGACTCCAGTCGCCGGAGGAAGCCTGACCTGCCCGGCATGGAGACCATGCACGGCTCACTGCAGGTGTCAGCAGTCTCGGGGAACCAGGACTTGGCTTTGCAGCCGAGTGAAGCGGCTGAACGCACGGCTGCTGCTGAATTGGTTGAAGTTTTGCCACAGCAACCTTACGAGTACATCCCCTACCACACATTTGTCTGTTAATTAGCATCTCTTAGTGAGTGACTGCTCTGCTGTAGGAAAGGGCTTTTTTAAGATCTTGGAAGACTTAGAAACTGTGTTTTTGGTTCTAAGCAGGGGTGCTGGAGGGCAGTGAGCTATTTCCTTGGCCGGTACTTGCCCTGGTGCCCAGGTGGTTGTCTCTGGTGTTGGCAGCATCCTGTGGTCTTTGCTGGACCCAGCAGTTAATTTGCAATACAACTTAATTTCTTTTCCAAGTGGCTTTGGCTGAGGTTCCGTGTCCCCTGAGAGACATGTGGTCTTGTGTCTGGCCCACCGCTCCCTTTAACATGCTTCGTTGGAGACAGAAGTTGCTCCTTGTCCCCTCCTCGTGACAAATTTCATTTGTTAGCGTTGACCAAAGTAAGCACAGAAAAAAGGCCGAGGGGGCTGTGGGCTGTGCGTGACCGAGCCCGGCGGTCCTTCTCCCCGCCTTTCCTGTGGGTGATGGTCTTCGCTGGCGGAGCCACGCACGCGCTGAGCCCAGGAGGTGCAGCCTGACAGCCCTTTGGGCTTCCATAGGGTGGGTGCTATATCTTTACGCGCGGGAGCAGCAGCGATACTCTGACCACCAGGGTTTTCCCCCGGTCCTGACTGCTGCCCCGCAGACAGTCCATCCAGCAAGCAGGTCCCGACCTGAATTTGGGGCCACACCAGACTCCGACACCCCAAAGTGATGTCCTGCCAGCAGGGATGGGGTGGGAGCGAGGGCCCTGGATGCAGCATCCGCATCGGGAAAGAGGTCCCGGGGTCCCAAAACTGGGGTGACATCTGGCCTTGGCCAGACAGGGTTGTTGCAGCTTAACTGCGCTGGAGGGCAGGCGGCTGCGGTCGGTGCCCTGTTAACCACCTGGGGTTTCTCCTCTCCGTTAACTCCTGATTGCGTTGCTCTAGCCTAAATAAAATCGGGTAGATGGTTGTGCCGCGGGGCAGAAGGCGCGGGGTTATCGCGCAGGGTCTGGAGGCTGCCAAGTGCCGTGTTTGGGAACAGCCTCTGCTCCAGCCCGTCCTGCCCTGGTCCTGCGCGGCTCTTTTGTCGCTCATGGTCACGTCCCTCGGGGCTGTATCTCCGTGTTGCTTTGATAAGAAGGGATGGCTGCAGATCAGGGTCGCGTGGGGGGAAGCCACAAAGAGCTTCAAGTCCCCTGTGTTAAAGGGCAGATTAAACCCACGGTCATTAGATTAATGGGATTAAGCGTGTGAGTCAAGAGGCCGTTTTGCACGGAGCTCAGCGCCGCCGGCAGCCCCCGCCAGCCCAGCTCAGGCAGCACGAGTAGCAGCTAAGGAGCCCCTTGCTACCTGCAGAAACCCCAGAGGAAAGCTTGCAGCCCCCCTCTGCGCCCCGCCATAGCAAGGGGGACGTTGGCGCTTGCGTAGGTGCTGTGCAGCGCAGTAGGGGTGAGCCCCAGATCCTCACACAAGGAGACTGGGATCTACAGGTTCGGGAAGGAGTGCCCAAACCCTGCTTAGCCAGGGGAACTCGCGTGGAGCAGGTTGGGCTCTGGGGCTGGGAAGGGGATGGCAAATTGAAAAATTAAAGGCTGCCTTGAGGAAACCCCGTGGGAGTGGGGGTGTGCTGCAGGGATGATGCGCTCCAGAGCATCCCTGGTGTTGTGGGGTCAGGGGATGGGGCAGCTCTGCAGGTCCTTCAGGCAAAATCCATGCCTGTTCCTCTGGGAGAGGAGGGGTGGCGGTGCCGCCTGCGTTTTGGAGGAGGCTGAGCAGGGAAGGAGAGGCTGGAGGAGCTTCAGTAGCTGGGTGGAAGCAGTCAGCACCCTGTGCTGGTGCGTGGACCCCCGTGGTAGTTCATCCCCACCATGCCAGGGCACGACTCCTGTGCCGGTGTCTGCCCCCCGTGTTGCTATGTGCACCCCGTGCCCGTCTGTGCACCCCCACGCTGGTGCATGCCCCCCACACTGCTGTGTCTCCCCGGCACGCATGGCGGTACGCGGAGGAGCAGCATCCCCGGCAGCAGGAGTCATCCATCGTGGAGCACTGGAGAGCCGTCCACCCGTATCGGGGGCGTGGGAAAACTGCAGCCTCCGCGATTGCGGAGCTGTGGGCCTCCCCTGGGTTTCCAGACTTCGCAACGGCGCCGGTGTATTTTTGATTTGCAGCACCAGGCCCGGCTCCAGCAGCCCCACCGAGCAGCAGCCGGTCCCTTGGATGGCCAGTGCTGCTCAGGGAGGCAGTGGGACCTTCTGCTGCAGCGCCAGCCTCCGAGGCCACCGCATTCCCTGCGAGGCTGTGGCAATGTGCAGCCCATGTGAATAAATATTAAAAAAATGTAGGCGGATGCAATAATATTTATGCCCTAGCAGGTCTCCGTGCTGGTTGCGTAAGACGTCACGTATTATTTCCATCCCTGTGTCCTTTGCTTCCCCAAGCAGGAGAGCTGCCAGCAGTGCTGGCGACGTACGGGCAGCGACAAAAAAACTTGTCATTGAAAAAAGGTGTTTTCTGCTCGCTGTGCCTGGCAGCCACTGTGGCTCTGAGCAATGAGCTGCTCAGCGGGGTGAGCCGAAATGCCTTTATGGAGCGGAGGGAGGGGGACGCGCCGTGGTCCCCGCCCCCGCAGTGACTCAGCCCTGCAGGCTGGTGAGTCAGTGCCCGCTGCCTGCCCCTTTTCGGAGTCAGGTTTCCAGCCGGGGAGCGTGGCTGGGCTGGCAGCCCCGCCCTGCCCCGCTTTCCTGCCAGGCATCGTCCACAGACCGTTTTGGGAGCCTGCGAGGTTTCCTGCGCACAACCCGGCCCCGCGCTCCCCGGGGAATCGGTGCAGGCTGTGTCAGGCTCCCCTGTTAGATCAGGTGAACCCTCTCCAGGAACTGTATATCTTGCAAAAAAAAACCCAAAAAAACACCCTCCTGGAGCTCAGGAATTCAGCCGGTGGCCAGATGCATGCGCCTGCCTGGTCTGACATCTTGCTGCAGTCTGGAGAACCGGAGCCTGCCCCCAAATGCAGGATCCCCTGGCTTTTTTTAGAGAGGGCTCTCATACTTTGGGAGGGCTAAAATGTGCTGTCCTCAGCAAAAATTGATTGTGAAATTGTTCATTTCTGGTGACAAATGCTATTTCAGCTGCTGTTGGAAGAGAGCAGAAGGGTCGTCAAGTGGGTCGTGGTCCAAGAGAAAAAGTCCAGGTGTCTTCTGGTGGCAGGATCAGGACTTGTCACACGTGGCAAAGAATATTTGCATTTTCCAAACAGTTTCTTTGTGTCTCCGTGTGACTAAAAGGAAAGCGCAGGCAAACTGTAATGTAAGAAGCAAGTGAGTTTATTGCATCTCCTTGAAGTAACGTCTGCTTTTCCCCAGCTGCCTTAAAAATATAAGCAGAATAAACCCTTATTACGTTGGCTGCTGGCAGCGGCTGCCCGGGGGGCTGCCGTGAAGGTGGATCCAGACATGGTGTTACCTGTGTGGAAACCACCGCTGGCTTCTCCTCCACTGCTGACTGCTCCAGCTGAGCGATGCGGGGGAGACCCAGGCAGGAGCCTGGTGAGGTGTATTTACCTTACAGTTACACCACGATTATGTTCTCCAGGATTAGATCTTGGAAATAATTTTCTTATCTGAGCGTATCTTAAGTTGAGGCTCTGAAGTCTTAAAGCCCTTTGGATGGGAAGCCGTCTTCTGCTTTCGGCAGCGATTTAACAAAGGCTTTGAGGTTTGGGTTGCGCGTGGGCTCGCCGGTGATGCCTGTTTATTGCCGCGTTTCACATGTGAAATGGTGAATTTGCACCTCTTCAGATCGTTTATGAATGATGACGCCAACTTTCCCTGACAATGCTTGTGCGTGGAAGCTTTGTGCCTATGAGCCAAAAGCTGCCAGATCTGTAGGCATTGCTCAAACGCATCATTTGTCCTCCTGGCGTTACTGGAAACCTCCGCCAAAGCACAAAAATTTGCAGCTGGGGCTCAGTGCGTGTAGGAATAGGCGTTATTAGCATCCTGTATTTGGTGCTGACGTTGCTTTAAAGCCAGCAGTAAGCCAGGCAGTGGGATCTTGGCCAGATCTGCGGTTCGGGATGGGGTGACCATCCCGCCGTCGGAGGGATGCGGAGGTTGGCTGCATCCCTTGCAGCTCATCCAGCGTCTTCGTGACATTTAATACCCCTGCCAGTGTCACCTGGAACCACACTGGTGCTGTCTCCCAGAACCAGAGGAACTCTGTGCATAGCCCATGGAGAGCATGTCCAGCAGGACAGGGATGATGTCGGTGGCCCTTGCCACCACCAGCTGTCTCACAAGGCTGTGAGGGGTTGGCGGGTGCTCGCTGTGTTCCTGCTCTCCGTATTTCAGGCATTTCCATTTCTATCGCACCAAAAGGACTGTTTGGCCCCTGGCTATCAGGAGCAGCAGCTATGAGCCGAGGGATGCTGCCGAAAAGCTCCCGGATGAGCAATTTGGGAGGACAGGCAGAATTTGAGGGGGAGCGATATTTTTTAAACGGAAATGTCATGCTACTTTTTTTTTTCTTTTTCTCTTTTTTTTTTTTTTTTTTTCCCTTCTTTTAAACAGAAGTTGGCATCTTGGCAAAGCAGTACCTTGAGCGAGGCCTTCTGGTGCCGGACCACGTCATCACGCGGGTGATGATGACGGAGCTGGAGAAGCGGCGAGAGCAGCACTGGCTGCTCGATGGTGAGTGCGCTGCCGGCGTGCCCCTCTGGATGGGAACATCCCAGCCCCCTTTTAAAACATTATTTTGCTGCTAATGGTTTGGCAGCACCAGGAGAGAGGAAAACCAGAAGGTGACTTTGCTGGTGGTGGGAGGAGAGGCGGGAGCTGACCTGCTGGCAGAGACATCTGCCCACGGGTGTTTCTTCCCTCTGCCCTGAGCAGCAGCACGTGCGTGTCCAGCCGAGCCCTTGGCACGCATCAGGGAAGGGGAAAGGCAGGGGAAGGAGATGGGGTGTTTCATAAAGCACAGCCGGCGAGCAGAGTGGGGCTGGAGGCAAGCCAAGAAAAACCTCTTACCGCCTCCCATATGAGTGTGAAGGAGCTGCTCATCCCAAACCCGAAAGCCACCTGAGGTGCGGGTGGAGAAGACACTAAGAGCAAACCGACGAGGCAAGTGGTGAGAGGAGCAGCAGAGGGTTTGCCAGGAGGTCCTGCAGCCCTTGACGGTGAAACTGCGTGCCAGCAGCCGTGGTGCATCGCTGCTGGTGGCCTGGGAGCTGGCAAGTGCCGATGGCAGCTCTAGAAATGGCTTTGGGGCTTAGTTAGGGGATGGGGCAGGGCTTGGCGGTGTTGGACACGGGCAAGTGTGGCATATGGGGACGAGCGGCCGTGGCTGTTGTAGGGGGAGAAAGCCTCCCTTGCCAGTCTGCTGAAGCTCTTTGAAGGAGTCAGTGGATACGCAGATAAGACTGAGCCAGCTGATTTATAACAGAGCTGGGCTTTCGGAGAGCTGTCAGGCTCCTGGTAGGGAAAATACAAACTAGTTTACAACCAAGTCTGCGGTTTAGTGGCATGGAATGGAGGGCTGGTGGAGATGGGCTTCTTTTTTATGATTTTTATGAGGTCAGGTTGGACGGGGCTCTGAGCAACTTGATCTGGTTGAAGATGCCTCTGCTCATTACAGGGGGGTTGGACTAGATGGCCTTTAAAGGTCCCTTCTGACCCAAACCATTCTGTGATTCTTCCCCATGTGGCCCTGGGTGGCCCCAGAGGAGGAGTGGCTTGTGCCAGGGCTTGGGGTCTGGATGAGCTCTTCTCACCCCAGTGGGCACCGGGGATCCGGCAGCATTGGCACCGGTGTTCTGGCACTGTTGCCCCACTGGGCTCACAGGGAGGATGTCAGAGACCTCAAACCCTGTAGTTTCAGGCTGCCTTGAAGATGCCTGTGAATCCCCACTATTAAAATTTCATTATTCTTACCATAGTGCTACTTCATTCATCGGGGAACACGGTGATTAATGAATATTACAGCAACAAGCGCCGCGTAAACAAGTGCATATTTCATTGTATTAAAACTGGCATTTCAACACATTGATGGGGGTTTGCGTTGACAGGCTCAGATGTGGGCTCTTGCAGCTCGGGATGTTGATTTATCACGGTTCGACCCCCAGCAGCCTGGCCCGAGCACCAGCTCCCGTTTCATTTGTGTCGAGGGTGCCGCAAGGGCGAAGCAATTCCGGCCGAGGGCTGGTAATGGCGATTTTGGGAGCCGCCTGCTTTGTGTGCTGATCTCCGCTTATACCGAGATGTTTAAGGGATGGGCTGCCCCCGAAGCTAAAACATGAATGCAGGCAGCAGCGATGCTGGCAGCCTTATGGTGCCATGTTCCTCCTCCTGGGAGGTCTCAGAGGGTTCTACGGATGTAAAAAATGGTTAAAAAATGAAAAAAAGGGTGTTATCTGCAGAGAAAACTGGAGAGAGGACCAGATTGGCGTCACTCCTTGTTGCAATCCAGCAGGAAGCACGGATGCTCCCACCTGCTCGCTGGCTTTTCCAATCAAAAGGTACTGCCCGGTACCTTCAGAGGACAGGGTGTTCAGAGGGCTGGGTGATGGCTGTGCCATGTGTGACCATTTTATCACAGTATCCTTGATGTCCTCCACATAAACCAGCAGTGTGTGAGTTGCCTGCGCACAGCTTTTTGTTGCCTTCAGGTTTTGCTTTGTAATTCTAGCATTTATCCCCATTTTTAGTTGCCTGTGCCCTCTTACTTGCCTCCAGCCCCTGTGCAGGGATGCAGGCCCTGCACCAGACACGACTTTGCAGGAAAACATGAGCCCGTGTGGTGTATTTCAGGAGTCGGTGCTGTAGGAGCTATTTTTTATTGTAGCCATATGGTGGATGCCTGTCTTTCACACCGCTTGTGCTATAGCGAGGAGCCGCGGTGGTTTTGCAGCTCCGGGGCTGTGGGGCGGGTGGTTTTGGTTCCATCTGTGCTGCTTTCCTGCCTCTCCTGACAGCCCCTTTCTGTTGCGGTGTCTGCACAGGTTTCCCTCGGACGCTGGGACAAGCCGAGGCGCTGGACAGGATCTGCGAGTTGGACCTGGTCATCAGCTTGAACATACCCTTCGAGACGCTGAAGGATCGCCTGAGCGCCCGCTGGGTCCATCCAGCCAGCGGGAGGGTGTACAACATGGACTTCAACCCTCCCCATGTCCAGGTGAGAGCCCGTACCATCGGGGAGCAATTCACAGAAGGAAGAGATCAGAGAAGCCTTTCTCTGCGTGAGCTGAGATCGTAAAAAAGCATCGGGGAAGAAACCCCAGGTAGTAAGCGCTGAGCACCGGAGGGCTTTGCCCTGGGGAGCCAGCCTGAAGGAGTTGTGCTAAATGTTAATTAGGAAAACGGGATTTGTGTTAAATGACGCCCGAGGATGCTCGATTGATGCGGAGGAGGATGAGGCATTTGGCAGCGGTTGCATGGCGGGGAGCTGCAGCGTGGGCGATGGGGCCGGTGGCTGCATCCCCCTGACGGTGTTTGCCTTCCCGCAGGGCGTCGATGACCTGACGGGCGAGCCGCTGGTCCAGCGCGAGGACGACAAACCCGAGGCTGTTGCTGCCAGGCTCAGAAAATACAAAGATGCTGCAAAGCCAGTAATAGAGTTGTACAAGTGAGTTGGACCGTGTGAATAAATCACAGCGTGCCTGTAAAAACAGGCACGAGTGCGGTTTCCAACAGCCGGTCCTGTGCCTCCATCCTGACAGCCCAAAGAGCCCCGGTTCGGCCCCCGACAGATTTTTGGGGTGCAGATGGCTGCACTCAGCAGCGCAAAGCCCAGCTTTCACTGCAGCCGAGCCCTGGCCTTGTTTGGAGGGAGCAGGGTGATGTAAAGAAATTCACAGCTCCTGTTTGTCTTGCCGGGCTCCACAAAGGGCTTTGCCAGTGTCGGTGATGGGAGGGATTTTTTTGCCATGGCAGAAGGTGTTTGCAAACTTGTGAGCACAGACGAGTTTCAGGGCTTGTTCTGCACCGCTGGTAGTTTGGGACAGTCCCCTGGCTGAGCTGGGAATAGACGGATCACTGTAGGGTAGCAATCCACCTCTGAAAGGGAGCGAGCACCCAGGAGTGTTTTTAAAAGCAGAAGTGGTCCATGGGGGGCCAAAAGTACCCTTGTAGGGGAGGGGGAAAATTGGGGCCCTGAATTTCCCACTCAAAAATGAATAAATACTGCTGTTTTATGTCTATAAATGATGTTTTGCTGATGACACAAGACTGGAAGGAGTGGCTGACAAACCAGAAGGCTGTGCTGCCGTACAGCGAGACCTGGACAGGCTGGAGAGTTGGGCGGAGAGGAACCTAATGAAGTTCAACAAGGGCAAGTGTAGGGTCCTGCACCTCGGGAGGAATAACCCCATGCACCGGTACAGGTTAGGGGCTGACCTGCTGGAGAGCAGCTCTGCAGAGAGAGAGACCTGGAAGTCCTGGTGGACAAGAAGTTGACCATGACCCAGCAATGTGCCCTTGTGGCCAAGAAGGCCGATGGTATCCTGGGGTACATTGAAAAGAGCATGGCCAGCAGGTTGAGGGAGGGCATCTTCCCCCTCTACTCTGCCCTGGGGAGGCCACATCTGGAGTACCATGTCCAGTTCGGGGCTCCCCGGTTCAAGGAAAACAGGGAACTGCTGGGGAGAGTCCAGTGGAGGGCTATGAAGATGAACAGGGGACTGGAGCATCTCTCTGCTGAGGAAAGGTTGAGAGCCCCGGGGCTGTTCAGCCTGGAGAAGAGAAGGCTGAGAGGGGATCTCATCAGTGCTTATCAATATCTAAAGGGTGAGTGGCAAGAGGATGGGGTCAGACTCTTCAGTGATGCCCAGCGACAGGACAAGGGGCAATGGGCACAAACTGGAACATGGGAAATTCCATGTCTACATAAGAAGCAGATGGACCTGTTGGAGAGGGTCCGGAGGAGGGCCACAAAAATGATCCGAGGGCTGAAGGAGCTCTCCTGTGAAGACAGCCTGAGAGAGTTGGGGTTGTTCAGCCTGGAGAAGAGAAAACTCCAGGGGGGCTTTATAGCTGCATTCCAGTATCTGAAGGGCACCTACAAGAATGCTGTTGAGGGACTTTTACAAGGGCATGTAGCGATAGGATGAGGGGTAATGGCTTCAAACTGGAAGAGGGGAGATTTAGATTAGATACTAGGAAAAAATGTTCACTCTGAGGTTGGTGAGGCACTGGCCCGGGTTGCCCAGGGAAGTTGTGGCTGCCCCATCCCTGGAGGTGTTCAAGGCCAGGTTGGACGGAGCTTGGAGCAACCTGGGCTGGAGCAACCACCCCAGGGCAGGGGGGTGGAACTGGATGAGCTTTAATGTCCCTTCCAACCTAAACCATTCTATGATTCTGTGATATGATTCTATGAGGAAAAACTTCTCTACTTTGAGGGTGGCAGAGCACTGGCAGAGGCTGCCCAGAGAGGCTGTGGAGTCTCCTTCTCTGGAGATATTCAAAACCCGCTGGGATGTGTTCCTACTCCAACCTGCTGTAGGTGACCCTGCTCTGGCAGGGGGTTGGACGAGATGATCTCCAGAGGTGCCTTCCAACCCTGACCATTCTGTGATTGTGTAAAGTGCTTTAGCAAGTGAGTGGTCTTTTAGTGGACGGGGGTGAGCTGTCATCATGGGTAATGTGATTATTTGTGGTTATCTGGGTTTGGCTTGTCCACGTGTGAGTGCAGCTGTGGATGAGAGCAGCTGTCACTCATCCCCTTTATCCACCTCCTCTTGCCCAAAAAGCCATCAGTGAGCTCCCAGCCTGGCCAGGCTGTGTCCTTCCAACAGCCAACCTGTCTGCACATACCCCTGTCCTCAGGACTGCCGATACCTCTGGTACTGACTTCTCCTCCCATCTCTCTTCCAGGAGCAGGGGCATCCTTCACTCCTTCTCGGGGACAGAGACCAACAAGATCTGGCCGTACGTATACACCCTGCTTTCCAGCAAGATCCCACCCGTTCTTTCGGACGAGGAGAACTAAACAGCCTGTGCCACGGACCAAGAGTTAACGCCATCACGGATTTGGTTTCTCTTCTGGTGCAGGGGCTGTGCTCAGATTAGGTGATCGTGCAGTATCTAAAGTCCCTTCCCCGGTTGTACTGGGTGACATCGGTGGATACACCATTACAGCCAGTATCAGGGTGAAAAGATCTTTGCTTGCAAGGTCAAGTCTGCTAGAATAAGGTGGGGGGTTTTTCTCTCTTTTGAGGCTATAAAGTATTCCTGTCTATGGGCCAAGTAGACACACAGATCAGTGATGCAAAGCTGGGTGATGATCATAGGAGGTTTACACAGCTTGCCATGATGTCCCTGCCACCCCCAGACAACCCCCAGTCTCTGTTTGAGCTTACAGTGTGCCATCCTGTTGCTCCACAGCACTATTTACTGCAGATTACTCTCTAGGTTTGTTTTTTTAAAAATATAGATTATTTTCTATTCAATTTACTTCTCAGAGAAATAAGCCTCTAAAAAGCAAGACTTAACCCAGTGGGAATTGGTGAGCAACGTGGAAAACATTTACTCTACAAAGCTCAGAAACGGGAGGATCACATTTCCAGTACTAATACACGTAAAAGAGGGGAAAACATTGGAGGTGAAACGTGCACTTGTGCTTCTTCCGTAGAGAGAGATGAAACCCCTGTTATAAAAAGCTGCTGTACAGTCTAGTTTTCACGAGATGCTGTGACACTGAGCAGGATCTGTGCTGGGGATGAGCTGCACTCCTTTGTGCTTACCTTGTTGATAGCTTTTCCTACTATAAGCTACAGTCATGTTATAAGAGTTTCTCCCGAAGATTTATTTCGATGTGTGCTTCAGTTTTGGGGAGAAATCAAGTCATTCCATCTTCTGTGCTGCCTTTGTCCCTGAGGTCCCCTGGAGATGGGGGTGTTCCCTACGCGGTTCCCGCTGCGGCTGCAGCATCCCGGGCAGAAAGCAGCTCTCTCCCCGTGAACTCCCGGAGGGAGGAGAGATGAGCATTCCCCGGGACACCTGCAGGGGCTGCCGAGGGCTATGCCCAGGCATTTCCCCGAGATTTACAGCAGCATCCGAGCGTGTCGCTCCTCTTTTTGCACGCGGGAGCTTTGCGGCCAGGTGGAGTGGCTTTTCTAAACTGGAAGTACTGTAACCCTCTTTGGTGGTAGGATGCAGTACCTAAGCAATGGGGATGTTCTTTATGTCTCCTCGAGTTGCCTTATTTTATAGAATATATATTTAAGAAAAAAAAAAAAAAGCAAGATGTGTATTTTTAAAGGTTTAAAAAAAAAAAAAAAAAGCGCTGAATTTTGGCATTGACTTTTGGGAACTCTGCGCGAAGCCGCGTGCGTTCGCAGAGCGTGCTGCAGTCTGCCAGGGGTGGCTCAGCGGGAGGGCAGAAAAGCTGTGACTCCCCGACACCCGTTTGATTAATTAGAGCAGCCTGGGCAAGTTTCTGTTGCTGAAATGTCCATGTTTTTATTTCTGCTTGGAGAGTGGCCCTGCGGCAGGGGAGGGGGAGCTGGCTGGTGTTTTTAGGGATGCGTGGGCTCCACGTGCGGAATTTCAGCACATCCCAGGGAGTCTTTTATCCCTTCTGATCCACGCGCATCCTCGCGCTGTCAGAGGAGCCCCTGATATTTGCTCTCTCCATCGGAAGCGGCGTTGCCCTGGTGCTGTCCTGATAACGGGGCCAGAAGCCATTGGGCATCTGCCGAGCGGGATCTGCCCGCGCGCTGCCCACTCACTGCCTGCCTGCGGGTGAAAGCCACGGTGCGGTGGCGGCAGGAGAGGGCTCCGCATCCCACCGGGATGGGAATTTCCTGGGTGGGAGCAGAGGGACCGTAGGGTTTCACTGCTGTCCTTGGGGGCCCTTCCATCCCTTCCCCCCTGCCCCAGCCCTGGACTTTCCGGGCTGGGAGGAGGCAAATCTTCCACCCTGCAATGAAATCCTATATAAGAAAGATTTTAGATTTTTCCCATGACCCTCGGACGAAGGTCTGGGCCATTTTTACACACAAATCTAGAAATAGCCAAAATGTGTGTGTGTGCTCTTCTCTTTCTAACAGCGTTGGGCAGGAGGGGAGGAGGTGATGGGGAGGGGGCAGTTTTTAGGCTTGAAAAGCAGCCTGGCTGCGGCGGGCAGCTCTGCCGGGGCTGAGTGCTGGGCAGGGGGGATGCTCCCTGCTTTCCCTTGCCTTGTTCTTCTGTCTCATCCTTCCCTGCTGCAAAACGGCTCCTGCAGAGAGCCTTGCCCCGTGCAGCGCCCAGCGGCAGGACAGGGCTCGCAGGTGGTTTTTTCCCCAGGAGAGCCGCCCGAGCGCTTGTTTTAAAGGCTTTGAGCCCTTTAGTAGATGTAGAAATCCCTTGACTCTGCATGCATCGAGCCCTTGGGATAGATTTTTCTACGAGAGTCGTCGTATGGTGCATTTTCATAGACCAAATAGCGGCAGGGATGAGGTCCCGGAGCGATACGCGCCCCTCGCTTTTCCTCCCCGCCGCGCTCCTATTTGGTACTTTACTGTGAATCTCACGCCTTTTCTAAAGCGACCACAATTTTGTACCGACCCAAGATACTGTGTGGTGGGAGGAGGGTCTCCCTGCCCCGCGGGGCACCGCTGGCATGTCACGCCGAGTTTTCTTCCTGGAGTTTCTTCCCAGTGAATCGCTGCAGCTGTGTTACTGCTCAAAATTTGTAAATAAATATTTTTTTTTCCTCCTGCTTATCCCTGTGCCGGCAGCGTCTGTGTGTGAGTTATACCCGATCGCCGCTGAAAGCCCTCGCCCTGCGCCGAGGCCGTGGGACGTGCCTGCGGGTAGCGGGTCATTTTTGACCCGGGGTTTTTTTGTAGGAGCCGATGAGGAGGAGGCGGAGGGAGGAAGAAGAGGAGTCAGAGCATCCCCACTTAAACACAGTGAAAAATCCCTCGCTAAAGGGGAGGTCCTCCAGATTTTGGGCTGGGGCACAATACTGCTGTTCAGGTCCTGTCTTACAACTCTTTTATTTGATGTAGTCCAAAATACTGGTTAAAAAGCCAATTCTGATGGTGTGGATGAAGCCGGTTGCTCCTGCCCCCCCATCCTTGTTGCGCATGAAGTGGGTTTTATTTTCCTATTTAACTTCCCCCAATAAAAGTAATGGAGAGCACTGGGCACAGCAAGGCTCTGGCTGTTGCCCGTGCCCCGTGTCATCCATCACATGTATTTTGGTAGAAGGAATTAAAAGCCATCAGCTGAAGAGCCTCTACCCATCACGACCGGCTTGCAGCTACAATAATTTTTTTCTTCTTTCTTTAATTCCCAAAGAGCAGCTTCAGGGCCCTGGGTGCCCAGTTTGGCATAAGCAAAGACTCTGAAATTATTA